GGCAGGGCCTGGGCCGGATGTAGAGCCGAGAAACGGACAAAAGGAACGCGGCTGCATAACAGACAATACCAGTGTGCCACAGACGACCGACTTATTGTCCGTGGCTCGGGGTATCGTGGCGGTAGCCCGTTAACGAGGTCCATCGAAGACAACGAGAGCCCACTTCCGGTCGCCGTGGCTTTTTTTTTTTCCGGCCAACCCCGAGGACCGACGGAGAAACAGAGATTCAGCCTCGCTCACGCGAAACGACTTCTTTCATTCTTCCTTCAACCCTTTCGCTGAACGAAAAGAATCGAAAAGGCTGTTGAGGTTTCAGATATTGTCAGGAAGTAACGAGCCGATCTTCCCTCGCGTTTCTCTGTTAACTTTAAATATTCGTCGGTTGCGATAAATATTTACGGACGTTTAAACAATTTTATTTTTTTAGCGAATCGAGAAATTCCTCGTTAACGCATAAATCAAGAAGGATATCATACTCGGAATAATAAAAAGGTGCAAGAAGACGGCTCGAAACACGATTAGCCAACGTCGCAGAAATTTCATTTCGTATAAAAAGGGCGAACCTTTTCTACCATTCCCTTCGAGACATTATCACCCCTCCGTATCAGCCTATAGGAAAAGGGCCACACCTTCCGCAGACGTAACCGTGGCTTAACGACCGAGACGCTTCGTCGCGTTTCCATGCGAATGTTTTCCCACTTTAACCCTCCACACGCGTCGATATTCCTCGCTCGGTTTTTATTCCTTTCAATGCTACACTCAATCAACTTTTATCCTAACCATTGAAATTTTCATCGATGTATCAAATAATTAATCGGTAATGAGTTTTTCATGGAAGAGTCAAAGAATTCTATTATCTAGATCCCTATCTCGAAGTTAAGATCGGTTAGGGTTATCAACCCTTTCAAAATAGTTAGGGTGAGTCGAAGGTTCCTTCTCTAACTGTAAATATTAGATCGGTGATTTACGTGTACAATACCCTTGAAAAGAAAGCTGAACGCTTTCTCCTTTATGTAGAAACACGATCTACAAATAGAGAATAATTTACGATCCATTAACTTGGAGTAATCTAGCAGGGGTCTACAATATTCAGAAGCTGATCGTTATCTGTACTTTAATTCTTGATCGTACCTATCGCTCTCAATTTACATGTTTAATATGGAAAATAATGACCCCAAGAAATTTGACGCTATTAATAAAAGGAAAAGTGTTTTACATACGGAAATTTCCATTGATCAGCGTATTTTTAGTTTCCATCCGGTGGTCGGGGCTAAAATAAAATTGTCCCTCGAACCAAAGAGAAGAAATTCCATTTTTCCTCACGGATGAACCGAACGATAGGAGAACCTGAATAACAAATAGAGCGATGTGAAACGCGCTTAATACAGCCAGGACAACGTCTACAACGTCTCTCCCTCTTATCGTTATTATCGGCAGCTACCCTCCAGAAGGGTGTATCGTGTATACAACCTCCCTGTCGTTCACCTTTGCACCCTTACCTTTGCGCAATGATGTCGGGTCACTCGTCGCTAACTTTACTAAAAATAGATCTGAAATTAAATATTAATCGGCGTTGTCTTAACGTTAACTGTCTGACGTTAAAGGAATTCAACAGGGACATCGAGAAGAATACCATTATTTCATAATTATGAGAAACCTAGCATATTGCAAGATGTTCTTTAGATTGCACGTTTCACATAGCAATTACTAATTCATTAATAGGTAATTGTGACTGATTTCCCATCATTTTTCATACTTGAGCAATCTTTAAATACAGCAGTTCTACTCGAGCCTAATTAACGATCAAGGATCTATAATTCTTACACACGGGTTATTATCATTTTTCTTTAAATGGATTATTTAATTACCATCATTCTAACGCAACAAAATTGAAAACAAAAAGCACACTGCAACTCGTGTACCGTTGCTGTATGAAAAGAACCGTGTGTTTATTCCGAATAAATAAAAGCGTCGAGTTGGATAAAGAACTTCAACCCCTGCTACCATCGGTTTTTATCTATCTTTCCATGGAAAAATAACGTTAAAACAGCGATGCCTCTGGGACATCGTACAACTGTCCCGGTGAAAAAAAATGAGACAACGGTAGCCTGGTTCGCGATACAAAAACATTAAACACGCGGGTGGACGAGTAGCAAGCAGGTTGAATAAATATTTGATGGTCGCGTGTTCGCGTCATTTTCCATCGCGACGTTGGCGAAGATCGGCCGGATATCAGAGGAATGGGTGCGTCGTTTGCACGCACCCATCGATTTCCTTTTTTTCTTTTTTCTTTTTTTATTTCACCCCACGTTCCACGGTGCCATCTCCGTGAAAACTCTTCGATAAACTTCCCTGTCGACTGTTTCGCGACCGACTGAAACTTTAATCTCTGCCCAGACAGAGGATATTGAACGGTACAACGAGCACGAGGATACTTCTACTTTTTATCCAATCGTTCGATTTCTTTGATCGAGGCTTCGCGATCAGCCTTGCGGGGATAAGCGTGGACATCGATCAGAGACAATGTTGTCAAGAGTCCGTGAATCGTGCAAGTTTGTTGAGGATTTTTTAATTTTTTTTCCGTCCACCATTCCTTCGGTAGCAGAATTTCAGGTATATTGTCGGTTGTATCGCTATTCAATCGACAAAACGGATGTCAACTCGTGCTCGTAAACGCGTGGAACGCGTCGTGAATGTATCCGGTTAAAAATAAACGGTGCTTCGTTGGGCGGAGGGCACCGATAAACAGCTTTCAGACAAGCTGGCTGAAAGGAAACGGAAAATTTACTTTGACCCTTAACCAGGACCCCTGACGAATTTTCCTTCATTATTTTCTGTTATTTCAAAGGGACCGGTCGTCCCTTGTTTGCCATTGTTATCAGACTTATTATTCTTTGCTTTTGCGTAGAGTAAAAATTTTATTAAAATTAATTTTAGTCGAGACAAATCGCATTAACTCTTTTTCGTAATACTATATTTTCAAATGTTATTGCACGAATCGACGAGTCTCGTCAGTTATTAGTCACTGTTCTTATTAGTAAGAACACTGTTTATTAAACCGTTTGATTTTGAAGCTGAGTCATCGATTCTTTTATCACGACTTCTGGTCCACAGTCTCATCGAGTCAGCTAACTTATAAGCATTCATCTTTAGGATTTATTAAGTTTTATTAAAATAGTTTTCATTTGTTATCTGTGCTTCAGCAGAAAATGAAGTATTCAAACGATAGATACCAGGAAGGTTACCTTATCTTATTAATACATTGTACTGAATTTTTCTAAGAAAAAGCCGTTTCATCGGGACTAACCGCAATCGAAAGCAAGATTTATAATAGTTGAAACGGGAATTGAAAGTCGTCTGCAGTAAAAACGGGATCGCCAAACATGGAAGAGGAAATCTCGATCGATTTGACAATTTCTCAGGAAAATATATCCAAGATCTATTTTTCCGGTAGATCTACCAGGGAAGAAATCTGGTTCGCGATAGAAAAAAATGAATGAACATTAATTAGGACGGATATCCTTTCGTCGGTAATTAAGCAGGATTTATTCTTTCAAACAAACGGGAACTTTTTCTCTCTGATTATTCACGATTTCCCTTTTTTTTTTTTTTTTTTTTATACGAGCTGCGGTTTTCAAAAAGTTTCGCGTCGACGACCAGCGTGGAAAGAGCTGAAGATTCTCAACCAGTTAGAAACGCGGAATTCAATGAAAGAAGATAAAATTATAGGTACTCATTTATTCTGATTAAAAAGTTTCCCACCCCCTGTGTATTATCCTCCGGAACAAGACACGTCGATTTCTTGGTGTACTGGCGAAGCGAAGGCACACGGGTCAAAGCGCGTTCAAAGTTTCCCCGATGCCTCGGCGCAATTAAGAGGCGTGACAGCGTTTTTCCGGAACCGTCTGATCCCGGATTAAGGTCGGAGGTGGTGTGTTCCGGCGTGTCGCTGGTGGGATCGAGAAACGTAACCGTGAGACACGAGCTCGAACATTTTACACAACATTCGCGGAAAGTTGTTCGCCGCAAAGAGGGAAATATTGTTCCAACATTTCTCGTTTCTATTTTTTTCTTTCTTCCTCCGGTTGTCCTCTGCTAAATGAAAATGTACGCTCGTTTTACCACCATTGTAGTATACCGCTCGACGTTACTTTTCCTCCTATTCTTCTTCCTTTTATTCAACTTTACGCGAAATCGTTTTTCACTCTACGCTAACGATCGAACACTTTCGATGATTATAATGGAACTCGGTAGACAGCTTGGGGATCGAAAAAGGAGACAGAAATCCGTGGAATGTCTTCCAAATCCGGCACGCGCAACAGGAAGTACCGCTGAGGAAAATTGTCGAGTATGCGACAGGAAGTCCGCGTGTTTCTGCATTAATTAACAAACTGCCTTGATATCTCTGTTTTTCTCGTTGGTATGAAATTGTAGAAACTTTGTTTAATATTGACGTTCGATCGCTATCGTTCAAGTTGATTGGTCCGTTTTATGCAGCAAACGAGGAAATTAATTTTAATCTAGACCATGCACGCTAGTTCAATTATTTCTCGTTAAGTCGCCCGGCAGGAACAGGGCCGCGCGTATAGTGTTTGATAAACGTTACGTGGGAGGGACACTCTTTTGTCACACTACTGATGCTTCCCTCTCGGTATTCACCCCTGAAAAGTTCGCCGCTTATCTAGATCGAAAGACGAGAGCGCACCAGGTGAAGGACTTCCTTTAAGCCCAGGGAGAAGCCTGAGTGGAGGATTTTTATAAAACGTACAGGTTAGGGTGGGGAAGAATTAGATACTATTCAAAGACTGGTACCCTGTTCTGACGCTTAAAAAAAACTCCTAAACCTAGAGAAACTTTAGAGACAAAGTCAGAAGGTGATCAGAAACTCTGAAAACTAATGGTAGCTAGGAAACAGGGGGTGAATAGAGGACTTGGTAGCCGCGCAAAGTCGAGGAAGCCATCGTGGTGCGATTCCTCTGACGCGTTCGTTTCTTTTTCAGCAACTGAAAGATGAGCTGGGCGAGGTGGTGGCCGAGATGGAGGCGATGGAAGGCGGCGGTCTTGCAGCCGACGAGACGAAGCCGTCGAACAAGGCGAAGCAGACGTCGATCGGCCGCAAGAAGTTCAACATGGACCCTAAGAAGGGCATCGAGTACCTGATCGAGCACAATCTGCTTGCCCCTACCCCAGAAGACGTCGCTCAGTTCCTTTACAAAGGCGAAGGACTTAACAAGACCGCGATCGGTGACTACCTCGGCGAACGTCACGACTTCAACGAGAGGGTACTACGCGCGTTCGTCGAGCTACACGATTTCACCGATCTGATCCTGGTGCAGGCACTTCGACAGTTCCTCTGGTCGTTCAGGTTGCCCGGCGAAGCTCAAAAGATCGACCGAATGATGGAGTGCTTCGCCCAGAGGTACTGCCAATTGAATCCAAACATATTCACCAACACCGACACCTGTTACGTATTGAGCTTCGCCATCATCATGTTGAATACCTCCCTGCACAATCCCAGCGTCAAGGACAAGCCCAGCGTGGAACAGTTCATTTCTATGAACCGTGGCATCAATAATGGCGGCGATTTGCCTCGCGAACTCCTCGTGGTGAGTTTTCTTAACGACAACTCTGTAGATGGTAGCCATCGCTCCGTAACGAAAGGGTTCACGCTGTTAGGTCTAACATCATTTGAGACCCCCGAAGCTTTTCTATATCCTTCACCGCCTAACGGCTTGTACCCGGAAGCCTCGAACAGTGTTAGAAGTGACTAACCGTGCCATGAAAACCTTAACGCTATCGATTTCATTCCTGCACCACCAACTTGCCAGCATGCAATTCTTCAGCCTTGGATCATAGCTGCTGATGGATAAGGTGCGGTAATGATTAGGTAGAACCTTGCCGCCGGAAATCCTTACGTTCTAACAGGAAATCGATGCTAATATTCATTGAACGTTTTGATTTAACGTGATTGAATAGGCGTTCGTTCGAAAATGGGAGTAACAGGTTTCGTGTGAACAATTTTAAAGCAATTTTCCCGCGTTACAGAGACATTCCATCGTGGAAACGTCTCGCGTTATGTGACGTAAGATGATTTCACGTATTAATCAAAAGTTGAACGGTGAAGATTCTTGGCAAACGTTTGCGTCACATTTAGATCCGAGTTCGAGGAATCAATACTCTCGGCGAGTTGTGCGTCTGAGAAACGTAGAGTGATCTTTCTGAATTTCATTAATCTTCTCGAAGCAACTGGTAGAAACGTAATAAATAACGATACAATAACAAGGAGGCAAACTTATATACGACGTCATCGCGTGCATTCGCATCAGGCGACATTCGTGAAAGGTCGTACATCGCGTGTTGTCCATCCACGAGATTCGTGGCCAGGATATAAAGCAATTGGCGCGCTTTACAACTCGCGGTTATTAGATGAATCCACCGGCTAACGGGGAAGTCCGTTCTACGATGATTCTTTAATGATGGACTCATGCAAAGCAGCTTCGCTCCATTGACATGCTCGTTTTGCAACGCGCTGCAAAAATCATTCTAGATCAATCTTTTTCCCTCCAATGACAATTGCCACGGCCGGTGGGGTTTAATTAATTAAAATTTGTTCCCGTCGCGTCGCTAATCTCTTCGTTTTATCTCCCAAGATTGCTTTGAGGAAAAAAAAAAATGAAAATTTCCAGGGAATACCAACTCTGTTTTCCTCTCCTAAATCTTCCTTGACCGTAAAGGAAAATATCCGGTGTTTGACGTGCAATTTATAATTGTATTTTCAGAGTTTATACGAAAGTATAAAGACGGAACCGTTCAAGATACCGGAAGACGACGGCAACGATCTGATGCACACGTTTTTCAATCCCGACAAAGAGGGCTGGCTATGGAAGCAAGGTAATCTTTCGTCCGACCTGCTATTCAACTCGCAACCCCTTTCCGACGTATCCCTTCTCTTCTTGACCCATGTATGATCTGAAACGAGAAAACAATTCTTTCTGTGACTGGGAAAAGAATGTTGAAGAATCTTATCAAACGTTTCTTACTCAAAGGAAAGATACGAATGAATGAAAAACTTTAATCCTTTATAGCTAATTTTTGGTTTAAATTAAATTTTCTTTTAAAAAGGAAAATGATAAAAATCTCTCGAGTCTAAAGCGTAATAAATCTTGTAACGAAAATTGGTAAATCTAATTTTAAATATGTATTCCATCCAACATTCTTTGTGGATACTGTTCGTCATCCTGTGGTTCAGATCGCGTACCACCCACCGCGCGTAAAGCGATATGCGGGTAGTAGAAAGGATATGGAAGAGATAAACCAGCTAGATCCTTCGTGTCGATCATAGTCGATTTTTCAACAAAGAATCTACTTACCCTCGATAATTTCCGTAGTCAGATGAGACGATACGGCTGTAAGGGATTAAAGGGACGAGTGAGAATATCCTGAAGCAGCGATTCCCAAAACCATCAGGTTGCGGTGTCCTCGGATTGCTCGAATATTTTCAGCGTTATGTCGAAACATTCCAAAGATACTAGAGCTGTTTCAGGTAGAACTAGATTCTACCATCTGACTCACACGTTTGTTCGCACCAAACTGGCATTCGTTAATTCGAATGACCAACAGCTGTAAATAAAGTATAACTGAAATTATGAAAATGTTTAAAGTGTAAGTTTGATAATCGCTGATTCAGTGCATCCTCCGACAGTGACGAGACGACGATTGCGTTCAGTTTTTTACCTGATTTCTGATATTCGTTATCGTTTTGTCCCTCTGCTGCCCTGACGGAGACAGCAGGTAAATAAAGCATGCAGAATCGTGCATCGATGGTTAACTTTAAACGGGTCGCTGGTTGTTCCAGGTGGACGTTACAAGAGTTGGAAAAGACGATGGTTCATATTGAACGACAACTGTTTGTATTACTTCGAGTACACGACCGACAAGGAGCCACGGGGCATCATTCCGTTGGAAAACATTCAGGTCAGAGAGGTGCAAGACAGGCACAAGCCTCACTGCTTCGAGCTGTACGCTGCCGGCTCGGAATTTATCAAAGCTTGTAAAACGGACAGCGAGGGAAAAGTTGTCGAAGGTACGGGCATCGATGGAATTACCGTAATGGTAAAGTACCGTCTGCCTAATTGTCACGAACTTGGATCTACCTCGTGACAGTTAAGCAAGTAGGTACTGGGAATTGGGAATTCACTACTCTTGCTTCTCTTCCCTTCGAAGATTCACTGGTTCAAGAGCTACGGCTATATTTTAGACTAAATCCTTGAGTAATCGCAACACCAATTAACTCTACTTTGTAAATTAATTGCAACATTAACTAAACCTTCCTCTCTTTAAACCCCTTAATTTCAATGTTTTAAACACCGTTTCAAAATTTCTCTACCATAAACAATCTGTAGTTGAAAGGCACCCTTAGCGAAGCATTTTCTTTTTGGCACAAAAGCCACGGGAACATTGAAATAACAAAGAGCACAAAGGGAGTAAGGAATGTAAATGTAACTCGAACAAAGCGTCTTTCTCGCATGACGATCGAATCCCGTGCGTGTTGTGTCACCATTTAACGCGACTTTTTTTATAGCGCTCCGTCGTCGTGCCGTGTTAATTATAGCGTCAGAGTTTATAATTGTTGTTTCATGGCTGTCACAGGGAAACACACCGTGTACAGAATGTCTGCAGCCACGGATGAGGAGAAGGAGGAGTGGATCAAATGCGTGAGGTAAGTTCTATCGAATTAACTGACTTTCAGCCTCAAAGCTGAACGTTATATTATTCATCATTTTTCGAATGATTTTTCACAGGCAAAGCATATCGCACAACCCTTTCTACGACATGCTGGCAGCCAGAAAGAAGAAGGCTCAAAAGACCAATGTACACTCCAAGAGTTAAACTCTGACGGTAACACAGCTTCGAGAAGAAGCTTTGGCGAGACACAAGACTGTCTATTCGCGAGCCTGCCTGCCCATCAGGATCGTGGAATACAATCAAACGAACCTAAACCAAGGTCCATCGAAGTGCACGCGGAGAATCGCGGCTAAAACAGGTGTCGGCGTTACCTGTTGGATGGATTTTCATCAACTTATAGCATCGTTAAAGACGTCGAACAAGCTGAGGACAAGAGGAAAAGGATATTGTTGACTGAGAATCGATTCGACGTTATGTTTCGTATAAAAACACGCTGCTGCGCTCTAGGGGCCTAGATTGTATGTTATTTAAACGAATTCAAATATAGATTCAAAGCGTTTTCCTGGGGTGAATCAACAGGAAGGATATTATTTATGTTGTTGTTGTTGTTACACGTTTGAAGCTAGAACATGTTACACGTCCAGTGTACAGGACTCGTGTTGGCGTGAAAGATGACATTTTTCTTTTTTCTTCTAGAATTATGGGAAACATTGTCCTGTAGCTTTGGTGAAACGCTAGAAGAGAGTCTCTAGAAAAGAAACAACGCGTGTAACTTACCGTGTGAATAAATGTAACGAAACGGGGGGGCGAGATATCAAATTGGAAAGAGTGAAATCTTTTCAATTTCAAGTGGCAGCTTTAAAAAGAAAAATTAACGGGACTTGAAATCGCTTTGATACGATGGTACGGAAGATAAGGTAAAATATTTATTTTATACGAATCTCTCGTGTATTATGTTACGTGTTCGGGGTTCTTTGTGAAAGAAGAACAAAGAAGACGACGAAAAGGTGATATGGAACAAAGACTAAAGCGATTGCAATTAATATTAAACGTATGAGAGAGAAAGAATCGGTAAGACGCGTGTATTAATGTGATAGTCCTGTATTTATTTGAACAAAGAAATGAAACGTGTATAGATAAGACTAGGTAAAACGTTTCCTTTTTTAATATGCCAGAAAATCATCTTATTCTGTACATTGTCGTACAGTTTTGTAAGTATGGCATGGTTAGCCAATTACGTGACAGTAGGTTAGAACAATTATCGTTTTTCTTTTGATTGAGTATATATATATATATGTAAAGATATAAATACAAATATATATATATATATATACATATACGGAGCATGTAGCTTCGTGTATTATACATACTGCAATATAATAATTATGATAGTACATGAAAATCATAGTAACTTGATAAAATCGAATTAAAAGCCTGCATCCTTACAGTATTTACAATTTACGGGATACAAACTAAAGCTAAAGCATAATTGATATCCATCGATTTTTGTTAAGTAAGTGATTTACCTGATCATGTTTATTCCAGGTAAACGTTGTATAAAACAACACATATTGTCTTCGCATTATTTTTCCTGCTTTCATATTCAGTGTGAGAGCAACAAGTGTAGAGAATTGCTTTTGTCAGAAAAGTATATAGACGACAAACGATGTACAATTTTTGAGACAGTTTTTTCAATTCCATTTGATAACAGTCTTTTCCAAGTTTTTATATTTCAAAGTACATTGATCACTCCTAGTCAGACAATTTCTATTCGTAGAAACCGTTTTTACCGTGAATAATGTATCCTGAGATTAATTGACAACGTGTAGGACGTTTCAACTGTTTTCATTTGTATCATTACACATGTAGCATTTTGAGCAAACTTTGTACCGGCGACTGTTTCTTTATATTTATATACTTCAAGAAAACGTACGGATCCGTCTTTGTGTCTCAATTTCTAAACTTAGATCCTTCCAGTTATCTAGCGAGCTTAAATGGCAAACAATAATTAAAATAAAGGCAAGGATGAGTGGATGCCTTTGGCGTCTCGTTCAAGCTAGTCGTAATAGCTGATCCGCCATAATATATATTATATAAAAAAGAGAATGGAACTCCCAAACGTTTTATGTTCTTTTGCTACACGCGAGAATAATGTCAGACATCGAAAAAGCCTTATTACAAAATACATTGAATAACGAAACGCAGAAATAATTATAGGGCCAAGAACGATAGAGCATAAGTTTTTTAACGTCACGCGTTTATAGAATGTAACTGTACTGCAAAACAGCGATTCGTAGTCTCTGTAGTTTCCAGGAAACGCACTATTTCTATTCAACCATTGACAGACTATAATTTAATTTCTAGCTAATCGACCCGTCCTTGAATGAACATTGTACAGAATATCTTTTCTTTTTCCTTTCTACTGCTTGCAATCATGTTGTAGAAATGGCATTCAAGGTATCTCGAGATGTATTTTTCCATAATACGTGTTTAAAAATATGGATGAATACGTTTCCTTTCTTTCGCAGTACTGCAGTAATGGTAACAAGCGAGTTTGAATGTAGAAACTGGTCATACATTATATTGTTAGAGAGTGGTGTAAAATTAGTTTAGAGAAAGTTGCTTCGTTAACGCGTTAACGTCCTTCGTGTCATGTTTCCTTGGAGAATTGTTTGTCGGTTAATTGTAATATAATTCTTACTGTATTGGGTAAAGATTGATTAATTATCTTTACTATTGCATCAAATTATAATCATTGTAATGGAAACAATTGCGTTAACTGTCAAAAGAACAGAGACGTATACTAAACAAATAGAACCTGTTACTTAAAAACTCGAGGGCCAATAAAAGATAATTAAACGGTGTAATGTGGCAAGCGTAGGTAAAAATTCAGCTTTCATTCTGCAATATAAAATAGTTAAATAGGATTTTTGATAAATCATAAAAGTGGTGTATTAGTAAAATGATTAATTCAATCTAAGAATTGTATAAAGAACTGTATTTTACAGTGAAGAATTTGTAAATTTCGTTGTATATTATTTTCACGCGATAATTGTTATGTAATCAAGACGATCTGTGTACTGTATTTGCGATCTTACATGTATTAATTTAAATGCAATCAATAAATATTTCCATTTCGTAAATAATTAGGTAACCAAAGTTTGGACCACTTTCGTTACTGGTATACATTGGCCGCTTCGTGCTGTAGCCAGTCTTCGGACGTCGAAAAGGTAGGAGGGTGATGCTATCCTTTTCAACCTTAGCGCCATCTATAAAAGAACGGCTCAAACTATTCAATACGTTACCGACTTGTCGATCAACCCGCTGGCAGTCGGTTAAGTTGTCGCGCAAGTAATCGAGTAGTTTGCGCCGTTTGCGTATAGATGGCGCTGCGGCTAAAAATGAGAGTACACCTTCCGTAGTTAACATTAAGGCAACGATTATGTATTCGTAAGCAAATTTTACTTTTTAATTACCGATGATTAATCTAAAGTAATCTTTAGAATATAAAGTTTCATTTTTACATATTCTTCTTAAGTATGCAAAATGCATACGATTCAGCTTACTATGCACATGCATTGCAACCTCATAAAATGTATCGCTGTTCACAATACACTGAGATTCGCAATGTATTTCTTGCATAGTAGAGTAAAGAGATTTAAGCGATTTCCTATATTACACGGTCTGCTCGGATAAAGGTCCATTTATACGCAACTGTACATATCGTGTCCGTTCCGATTCCGATACTTCACTCTTTCCATGTTCATTCCACTTACATAAGTTCCAGTTTTAATAGATCAATGATTAATCATCCTTATTGTATGATTTCTTCAAACTGATATCGCGCTTACCGATAATTAATAACACATCAAGATTACAATTTATATGACCGAGGAAAGAAACCGTGAACACGGAACGTGTAATTATTTATTATCAGATGATAATTTGCAAACTGATCATTTCATCATTTATTAATAAATTAACATTTCAATATTTGTTTCAGGAGGAACAATTCGTCCTAAGTGAACCGTACCATACGTCTTCGCGAGAAGGATGGAATTGTGTGCTCGTACGTTGGGATTGGCTGTGGCGCCACCCCACTCCGCCGAACGCTTTCAGTCGAGCTCGGACCTTCGTCGGGTGTGGAGTGCGCGTTGTTTCGTCGTGTGTCAGTGTTCGAATTACTCACAGAAAATCAAGGTAAGATTACCATTCGACTTTATAATATATTTCCATATTGAAAGAAGGTAACCGCAAGATGTATCGCTTCGTTCGTTCGTTGATCGTAACTGACGTATAAAGCCGGTAAAGGCATCGAACGTAAAACGTCCTTGTTCTCGTTTTTAACTGAACGTCGCGTTGGAAATTGAGTGTCTGTAGTGTCGGCGATCGAGTTTCAGTGATTTCTTAGCTCAGCCTCGAAATACATATAGCTGTACCGAGTAACTGTCGGCGTTCTAACGAGACCAACAACAAGAGACAGCGCCTCTCCCACGAGATAAGAGAGACAGAGAGAACGTGGTGGCGCTCAGAGTCGTCTTCGTGTGTACTCTCGGGATCGATACACAGTACACACTTGGCGCGACGTTCTCGTGTAAGGTTACGGTTTTCTACGGGGATCCATGCGGGTGTGTATGCCCCTTTTTCCACACTCGCCACCTCTCGTGCCACGGTCGTTGTTACATACGTATGTCTGGGTGCGTGCATGCTCTCCCTCAAGTACGAGGGTGGATTTTTCGGTGTGGCTACGGAAAAATTCAAAGAAATCGAGAGAAGTACGCGGCGCAGTATGCGGGTACCACGTAAAATGCAACCCTCTTCGAGAAGCGAGCGCGCCGGTAACCGATGCTGAAAAGAAAACGCGTGAGAATGACAGCGAGTCCACAGCGCGTGGATATTTAAAAATAGGGGAAAAACCTTGCGTTTCGCAATTACAACAATGAGCCTTGCCGCGTGTACTGTAAATAGAGGGTGCCAGGCTTAAACGTTAAAATGAAAATTAAGATTTAACGTAGCTCTTCAAGTTACGAGTGATTCTCGTTATTATGCTGTTTAAAGGTAGCGATAAATCATAGAAACGTTTTTCTATTTCAAAAGCTACCGTAACAAGCGAAACCCATTTAGATCCAAGGATAAAACGTTCAGTTATTTCTGACGTCAGTCAACTTACATAAAAACAATTCTAATCACGATAAAATCTGTTAATCTGAATAAAAAATACTTATTCGGCAACGTTAAGCATATCGTGATATCGTGCAATAATGTAAACGTGCCCTTTTTCTTAGCGATATAACCTCCACGTCATGTTTTCAATATTCCCGGTTGAATTTTTTACTAGTTTCAGTTCTTTTTACAAAAAATTAAACCGTAGTCTGTTTAGGTATTCGGTTATCCCGTATCGAATTTGAGAGTTTCTCAAGTGTAATTTAATAACCGGGTACGGTGACCGAGAACAAAATATCAGGACCGTGTTTAGAGTGTATGGGGCCCAGGAGAAAAACTTGATACTATAGAAAATCTTCTGTTACTCAATGTCCCAATGTAAATGATAATAACACGGTTTTCAGTAACCCAATGAAACGTATTTTGTCGAAAGATTGTTACTATCAGTAACAGACAGTAGTTGTCGAGAAGACCATCTGTAGGTCGTCCTGTGACTCACCTTATGACCTACACTACATACGCACAGATTGATTAGAAAAAATCGTTGGCTCGTGAGACGCTTAGGAAAACTATTGTCTCGCAAGCAATTGAAACGAATGTATGTACAGCTAACCCCATCTCAAATCACGAGAACTGTACAAGTACTACTCGCGCGTTTTTTCTCGTTGTCACAGCAACCGAGATCACACGATGTTACCAACCTTAACACGCTTCTTATTGTATGTACGAACACGGTGAATACGAATCGATTTGGAATAAAAGTTCGTGTGAAACATTTAATATATCCATCGAATTGCTTCGACGGTCGCGTGAGATTACTCTTTGACGAGGTAAGTTTGTAAACACGAGAAAAAAGAAAGTAGCGCAGGTGTATCAAAGTTGTAGCAGGCTTTAATGTAATTATATCTTTACAATAAGAAAATTAAATACATATTCCGTAAGTTCTCGTAAGACTAAAGCAAACGGCTCCAGCCTCTATTGCCCCCGAGCGTACACTAGAATATAAAACGAATTGAGTATTAATAATCGTCAACGCGAATTGCCCATTCGGGTGCAACAAACTGAACTTTCCACGTTATTCCAAGCAGAAGTTATTGAAATGCGTTTCGAATCAATAACTGAAAGTGTCAGATTAAACGAAACCAGAACGCGATTGTATTATTTCGTTAAACACGCGTGAGAGGTTAGGTTACTTATCGATCGGGTTTTACGAAAGATCTGTCAAATCGATTCGATTGTTCGTGAAATAGGTTAGTTGCGTCTAGATACGTTCGCTCGAATGGTGGACAGAGATAATTAATCGGTCAAATAACGAAGCCGTAACCATTTCAGTTAACTCATTAAAATTCCAGGTACATCGTTAAATAAACTCGTAACCGGTTCCCTTCGATCATCGAACGTTTCGAGATCACGATCGTCGATCTATTTAATCTTCGCATCGTTAAAAAAAGTTAGATTAATTTTGCTGAAACAAATAAAAAGAACATCCGATTTACAACGATTTAACGCAGTATAGCTACTGTTCGATATTGGTATCGATTCATTGACGAGCGTTCGATTAATTAGTAGCTCGAATAATTTCGAGTTCAAATTCTCGACCACTGTCGAAGTTGTTCTCGATCCGTTCGAGAGCTCTACTCGATTCTAATAACCAACCACTCGAATTATGTATTCTGTTCTCGATTTGTATTTCGAATTGGCCATCGCGCGAATTAGCCGCGCGTATGACGGGTTGCATTACCTTCCAGGCGTATTATGTTTCTTCGCGTAGACAAACGATACGCGTGTAATTGAACAAGTAGTTAGCATGTAAAAGATCAGTTATAGAGGAAGAAACAGAAGAATATAGGGTGGTGGATGATTTCCAATGTGAGTCACTGTATCTTGAACGGGAGTTTCGGCTTCAGACAAAAACATGTACTCTCTTCAGATAGAGATCTCAGATTTCCGTGAACGGTCGCGAGGGGTGAAGAAACGGGTCGACAGGCGAATAACGGGGCTGCGGAGGAAGACTTCCACTCCGTCAGTGGCGAAACCTGCCGATAATCTTTTGTTCGAAACGTCGGCTTTTTCTGCATTCCGTTCGATGCCTGAATGGATCGGCCTCTCACCTTGCATACCGATCGTTTGTTTAAGCGGCGAGAAAGACGCGTTATAGAACGACAATCGCTCCTCAATCGCCATATACATATATATATATATATATAGCGATGCATCATTGCATTCCGATGAGCCACTCTTGGTCGTATTGCAAATTCAATAACGCTTCCGTTCGATTCAACCGCGGAACACGCGCGTTCGAATAGCCTCGAACGCATGTCACACGTGAAAATCTGTTTTCCCTGGATTTACTTTGTTCCCTGATGCAATTTTTCTTTCTTTTTTTTTTTTTTTTTTTGTCTTTCCTCTCTGCGTATAGTTGGTTCACTCGAAACTATATTGTATTAGTTTGTTGCATATTAAGTGGTTGATTTTGAAAGAGGGAAAGTCTGGCGTATTTCAATGACATAAAAGTTCTGCGAAATACCACTTGTGCCGTATCAGTTTGAAGGAAAATGATTACACAGATGTTTGATCAGTGCAAATTCGTTGGAATGTACAATGAGTCAAGTTATGAATCAACCAAGTACATTCAAGGTATAAGACCTGAGACTTTTCATTCGTAAATCAGCGCGAAATCTTAATTAAAGAGCGGAGGGTAGTAATTCCATAACGGCCGATGCAGTGTTTTCTTTTCATCATCCGAAAGTAAGTGGAAAGTCCGGAAAAAACGCGACGTTTCTTCTTCCTGCCTTTCGGTCGGAAGGAAGAAACACCGAAAAGTAGCATCGACCGCATTGAAAGCGAGTCGGTGATCATTTTAGCGATATAAAGAACCGCTAAGGAGCTGCTTTCAAGCCCGTTTCCGCCACAAATTATCTTTGAATTAACATCTCGCGGCATCGCGTCCTTCCTTTTCACCAGCTTGAATTTTCCAAGCAAACGCTTCGGGCCTGGCGAACACTCGCGACCAGAACGAACGGGGACGGGGAAGTTGAACTTTTTAGCGGTAGAATTGCAAAGCAAACTATGGAAAAACGCCTCGGGTGTAGCGGCTCGTCTCCGTCAACGCGGAAAAGAAAAATTGCTCTGTGAAAGGGGAAGCGCAAATAAATTATCTCTCGAAAACTAGCAATTGTTCCGCTCGTTCTTTCCGTTGGGTAAATTTCATCGAATAACGTGGAAAGTTTTTCTTTCCCAGTTCCGTTTTCATTTATTCCAATCGAATTTCCGTTAATTTTCCTTCCCGTTCGCGTAGGACGCGCCGAGTGCGCGGTGGATTTGAAACGTGTTAAATAGTATCCAAATGATTATTCTGAAAGGAGAAGAGGCGAAATGAGGCGGTGAAACTGGCGTGTACAGTTTTTTAAATGCTCCACGGAGGCTGGGGATCGGGGAACTGGGTAACGCGAAAAGGGTAGTGGTTCGCTAAATGGAAACTTTTATAATTAAAAACGAGCCAGAAAGTGGTGCAAACAGCTCGCGCTTGCTAGCGTGCATCTAGCCTGGCCTACGTACGTCCAGAGGCGTAATAGACGTTGGGAGGGAAAGTAATTACCATAAAACGCGGGTAATATTCAAGTTTAAAGCGGTGGATATTTTTCTGGCGCATAGACGACCATCGACTTCCACGCTCGTTGTCACTTCCGTCGTGAACCAATCAATATCCAATTATCGAAGACTTCCGTTGACAAAGTTCCGCGAGAAAGAGAAAAAAAGTATTGATTTTAATTTGAAAATTTAACCATTCAATTTAAATCGAACATTTTTCAACATATACATAATTATGATTACCTTTCAGTGAAAAGTTTGGCATCGAATAAAATTTTAGCCGAATTATGGAGTTTAATCGTATAAATGTTATTAAATCGAATTGGCAAGCTTCTCGAGCAAATAATCCATATTTCTTGTTACGAAACGGCACGTCTGGGGATGAAGTTGGAAATAAACGAAAATCATCGGAAACCGTGCGGAAAGAAAGTTGACCATGGAAATTC